ACTTCAAATAATAAACTTGCGTGGAGAAGCTGCACCAGTGCACGAGTTAAACAAAACACAACCAAGAACAAATAACAACAGAAGCAGCTCAATGAACTAACGCCATCATTAGCTTGCTTTTCAGAGACTGGAATGTTTAATTGGGCTTAAAGGAACTGCACTAAATTGGTTTAAATCATATTTATCAGACAGATTCTAGTTTGTTCATGTTAATGATGATTCTTCGACCTGCAGCAGAGTTACTTATGGAGTTCCACAGGGTTCTGTGTTAGGACCTATAGTATTTACCTTGTACATGCTCCCCTTCAGCAATATTTTTAGGAAGCACTGCATAAATTTCCACTGTTATGCAGATGACACCCAGTTATATTTATCTGTGAAGCCAAATGAAACCAATCAGTTGGTCAGACTCCAGGTATGTCTGAAGGACATAAAGCCCTGGATAGCCTGTAATTTCTGTCATTTAAATTCAGACAAAACTGAGGTTATTGTATTTGGCCCTAAACACCTCAGAAACGCACTAACGCACTCGAACCAGATAGCTACTCTAGATGCCATTGCCTTGGCCTCCAGTTCTACTTTAACGAACCTTGGAGTTATTTTTGACCAGGACATGTCATTCAATAACCACATAAAACAAGTTTGTAGGACAGCCTTCTTTCATCTACGTAATATTGCAAAAATCAGGAACATCCTGTCTCAGAGTGATACTGAGAAACTCATCCATGCATTTATAACTTCTAGACTGGATGATTGTACTTCCTTATTATCAGAATGTCCCAATAACTCTCTCGAAAACCTTCAGCTAATCCAAAATTCTGCAGCCAGGGATTTGAGAGGAACCAGCAAGAGAGCTCGTATTTCCCCTGTATTAGTGTCTCTTCATTGGCTCCCTGTAAAATCCAGGATAGAATTTAAAATCCTGCTTTTAATATATAAAACTCTCAATGATCAAGCTACATGTTACCTTAAAAACTTTATTGTACCGCATCATCCCAATAGAGCCCTTCGCTCTCAGACTGGGTTTGGTTGGTTCCTTCCTACCGTTGCCATCTGCTTGCTCAGAAGGAGTCCAAAGGCTACTTAGGATTGTTGGGTTTTCTGTTTAAATTTGTAAGGTCTATACCTTACTTTGTTAAGTGCTATGTGATGACATATGTTATAAACTGCACTATACAAACAGAATAGAATTTTCCTGCTGTGAGATTTCAAAATGCCTCCTGTGAAAACGGACTCTCCCTTAGCCACTGATGAGACACACGGGGGAGACTCAGGAAATGCAACAGTTGAGACAATAATTTGTACCATGCCATGTTGTAAATAGCTTTCATTTGTTCGACTGAAAAATTGTCAAGTCAAATTTGCAACATGCAGGTTTTCTGTTCTCATCTAGCGAGCCCATCAGGTGGGAGGTATGCAGTATTTTCAGCCATGCTAGCGGCCTGGTGCTGGAGATGGCCGTGTTGCTCACTTTACCACTTTGTTCCAGACTATAAGATTAAAACAGCTACGGGAATAATTAAGAAGAAATAATGTACAGAATTGTGGTCCCTAAAAAATTAAATTGTAATGACAGCTACTCTATATATTGCCATGAAATGTGACATGTGCATCCATGGTGCTGTGGTGATCCCTTAACCTTTTCATCTAGCACCATGATCAGAACAATATTTACTTTGAATATCAACTAAACTGTCCGACTCACCAGATATACAGTATGTTCTATGTGTAAGCCTGCCATTGTTTACACATTTCACATGACTTTCCGCTCCCTTTCTGCTATCTGCAAGTTACCATTTTCAAAATCCCCTCACAGTGTGAAGCAACAACAGCAATCGCTGGATTAGGAAACACAACACTGAAAATTACAAGTTTTGATGAAGGTTTTGATGATACAACAAAGCAAGCGGGCTTTTTTTTTTTTTAAATTTCATTTTATTTTATTATTTTTTGTGAATTATCCGCTTAATGACAGGACTTAACGCCATTCATGCCAGTGTTCCAACCAAATAACTCCCCTGTTTCCCATGTCATTGTTTTGAAGGGACACTGTTGCTCAGGATCACTCAAAGGAATTGTGATTGGTTTAAAGAAATACGAATGTGTCAAGGTGCAGAATGATGATGAGGTGCAGCCAGACCATTCTACATAACCCTGTGTCAGTGCTACATAATAGTCTGATGATGTAAGACAGTTGACTAAATCTCTACAGCTGCACCTTGTGTGAAAATGTAAAAGTTGCATGAATACATTAATGGCAGCTCTGGAGTTGATTGGAGGAATTAGAGGGCACATAACCAGCTTTTAGCAAAATCATACAAAAATCATACATACAGTGTTACTGCCAATATACTGTAGATATGCAATTAACAGTAAAAGCTAATACATTGTCCTCAAGGTTCTAGGACAGAAAATCTCTATATAAAAATGGAGCACTGTGCATTGGACCATGAAGACAAAGGCTAGAGGCCCTCTGTGTCTACACCAGCTCACCAGAGAGAGGGTAGTAGACCTTGTTTCAGATGGCTGACAGTTTCTTACTGATCCTCCCCTGAGTTGCCCAACATATTGGTGTCCTTCTTCTCTGCCTTCTGTACTCACAAACACTCCTCCTCCATTTTTCTCTCGAGGAGCATTTATCCTTCTTCAATGATCTCTTCGGGCAGAAGAGGACATTGTGTTTCTCAGACACAGACAGGTGACAAACAACCTCTTATTCCCTTAACAAGCCCTTTGGTACCATGAAAGAGCAATATTTTGTCCAGTGTCATTTAAAGCAGCGGAAAATTGCCTCTCCTTGTGTTGCAAGTCACAGAGGGAAACAGCAGGTATGATGACAAGGTGCCGCCAGCTGGCACAAATTTAGTCCCTTTCACAGCAGCTAGTATGAAGGAGGGTAATGGGTGAGATAGATGTTTATGAAAAGCTGGCATTTCAATGTCCTAACAGCTAGTTATTTGACATTTAGAGGTGCCAAACTGCCAAACTGTTTCATATTTCTAAAATGAAAAAGTGTTGCTGTTTATCTTGTGTTCCTAACATCGTGAAGGACAGTTTTTTCCCCTCTACTTCAGCACAGGGGGACTACAAAAACAGACTGTTTTCATTATTGATTTAGATGTGAATGATGTTTGTATTGATTACGAGAACATACTCATAGTCAGATTTCTCTCGTGTATCTTTCTCTGTCTCCCTTCCCACGCCGCTAAAATTTCTTTAGTTTTTTTTTTTTGCTTCTGTAACACTACGATATTACTTGGTGTTTTTAAATCTCACTTGAGCCTTTCTCATTGTGGACACAGCTAGAAGTTAATTACATTCAAAATGGAACTCAGTAATCTCAGCAGTCTCACACAGTTCCTTTGAGTAAAACACAATGACAAAAAGCCATTAGAGGCGAGTTGTTACATAATTCATGTATGAGAAAAGTTTAAATCTATGAAATTCTTTGTCAGTTTGGTAGCAATTTGTCATTTTCTTTTATTTAACCAATTCAACAGAGAAAATATGTCTGAGCAGTCAAGACTAGGCTGTAATATGATTTGTAAACCATGTTCTACAAGACGTATTGTGTCATGAGCTGAGCATAAGTCGATCTGCTTATGTGAGTAATAAAATACCAGTAATGAATGGTTTCCTTTGTACAAGTGCTCATGTGATTCAATCAGTTTCACCTTCATCATCTAATCTGTTTTCAGAGCTTTTGCTATCAGAGTGCATGAAGCATGAACTTCTAACTTCTAGTGTGCCAACAAGCAGAAAAGGAGCCACAGGTGGGTCCAGTGGTTAGCGAGTTAGCACTGTTTGAGTAACTGGAGGCTTTCTGCAGTAGAGTTTTGCATGTTCTCACCGTGATCGCAAAGACACATTCAGCATCCTATCATATAATAATTTCCCCATCTTTATAGCAGTGGAAAGAGAATGTTGAAGAAATAGATCAGTGGGGAGTCCCTGCGGCCTATAGAAAGAGCATGACCATGCTATCCTTCACTGAATCACAAAGCCTCCTTCAGTCTTCCTGTTACTATGTGTTTTTTTTGCTTGTCTCCCTCCCTTTTTGTTTTTTTCCCTATCCAAAAGGGAACAGCTTCAGATGGCTCGCTTTTCCACCAGTGATAATGATGATCGTTTTTGTGACACAAGCTGTACCATTCATTCAGTTATTCTTCAACAACAATTATTTTATGAGATATCACAGTGCCTTTTGTGACGATAAATAGAAAAACTGTGACCATTAACTGACTGCAACCTTTCCATCCATCCATTATCTATACAACGCTTAATCCTCACTGGGGTTGTGGGGGGCTGGAGTCTATCCCAGCTGACTTAGGGCGAAGGCAGGGGACACCCTGGACAGGTCGCCAGTCTATCACAGGGCCACACAGACGACTACAGCCTTTCAATTTCTAAAATTGATCTGCTGGGGTGATGGAAAATAATTCAAATGAATCCTTTCAAATTACCATGTAATGTGTGACATTTGATTCATAGGTTTATGAAAGAACTGTTTGTTCAAGTAATGTGTGAAAAAGTGTAAGGTTGCTTGAGCTAACAAGAAATCTTTCAGAAGCTGGTAACACATTAATTTAAAATGATATAAAAAACAGGGTGGCGCAGTTGGTAGCACTGTTGCCTCGCAGCAATATGGTTGCTGGTTCGTGTCCCGGTGAGGACACCTGGGATCTTTCTGTGTGGAGTTTGCATGTTCTCCTCATGCAGTGTGGGTTCTGTCCAGGTTCTCCGGCTTCCTCCCACAGGTCCAAAAACATGCTGAGGTTAATTGGTGATTCTAAATTGTCCGTAGGTGTGAATGTGAGTGTGCTTGGTCGTCTGTCTTTAAGTGTAGCCCTGTGATAGACTGGCGACCTGTACAGGGTGTCTCCTGCCTTCACCCTGAGTCCCCAAAGTGAGGATTAAGTATAGTGTATAGATAATGGATGGATGGATATGAAAAACAATTTTATTATTATAATACGATACAGCAAAAAAAAGTGACCTACCTGTATGTTGTCAAAGGATGTTTTGTTGGTGACGTCATACAACAAAAGAAGGGCTGTAAGAAACAAAGCAAAGATCAGATCTAAAATTGGTTGATGGAAAGAACTCTTAGTAAATGTTTAACCTAATCTTCGACCTTGATGTTTAACTTCCAAATTAAATTATAAAAACAGTCATTCTCATTTTTACTGTGGGCACAAGGCTGACTAATTGGACTTCTTTCTCTTGGCATGACTAAAATCGGCATTGCATACAGGCAGAACTCAGACAGACAGGCTTCACGCCTTTAAACAGTAAACTTACAGCATGTGACTCAGAAGTTTAAGCAGAATACACCAAGAACATTGAAAAAAATTCACTGATGCAGTTGTCATAAACAATGCCTTTCATACCTTCCCACATGAACAAATGTTTTTTCACTTTCAACAGCTATGCCTGGTTTGTTTCTCATTCAAACATCTCATTTTTTATCGTGTTTGTCCATTTCTTCACACTGATGTTTACTGAAATGGACTGACTCAGCACAGGAAGCACTACGTGAGTATGTCGCTATATGACACATCATCATTGTTGTTATTTATTATTATTGTATGAATAGTCACCTTTTATAAATAACCAACTATTTATAATGGATTGGTCATGTTTGCTTTCATTAAGATGTTAAGTCAAATAAAACAAAAAAAATTCGTCAAGTCTTCAAGTCAAGAATAAATATTTATATGAAAAATCATTTTATTAAGCAGAGATACCTCAGTCTATGTCCCTTCATGTATAGACAGTGTCGTATCTGCATTCAGCATGTGAATGCAGCAGAGAAAGGGAGAGGCCCAGGAGAGATGCACATCATGCAGACTGACAGCTGTGTAATAAAGCTGAGCCCTCCTAGACTTGTCCTGGAGGTGTTTCTCATTCTTTGGCTATTTGTTATCACTCAGGGGTTGAAGTCAGGACACAGACAGTCATAAACTACTGCAGCTGCTGCTATGTTTGCGCATCTATGTGAGTTTAAGCATGCCTTTCTGCCATCTGTCACACCCTTTCCAGCTGTTTTCTGTTAATAATGTTTAAAGGTAAAGGTTGACTTCAATTGTTATGTGTAGCCAAATCAGGTGTTTGCAGTTAAGAATTTTAAAATGTATTTATTTTAATCACGGGGCTGCAGGGTGGCGCAGTTGGTAGCACTGTTGCCTCGCAGCAAGAAGGTTGCCGGTTCGCGTCCCGGTGGGGGCACCGGAATCTTTCTGTGCATGCCGATTGATCTACATGTGTAACATTGGCTTTCCAAATTCTTTTTTTCCCTTACTTTTTTTTAAAATACACTTTTTATTGAAAAAACATGGATCACCGGGATCTTTCTGTGTGGAGTTTGCATGTTCTCCCTGTGCAGCGTGGGTTCTCTCCGGGTTCTCCGGCTTC